TTGGTAAAGTGGCGGGGAAAAGGCTCTTTCCAAATATTACAGAAGGAGCCTTGGGAGGGGTCTCTCCAACCCCACCCCTAAAAAGGGGTCAAACAGCACCCCAGCATATCCGCCAGGTTTGTTTAACCAACATTTTTTGATACAGGGCCCCAAAATAGGACGAAAATTTTGCAAGACACAACAGACATAGTCGAGAACTTGGTCTCTATCTACCTTTTGAGAGGTTGTTTCAAAACAATAGCTCGCATCATACCAATCCTCACAAATTACATGATATTGTTGCAGAAAACTAAACCGAAGTTGTTGAACACTTTATAGTCATCCCTGACTAAACCCTGTCCACATTAAAATATACTATTTAATCGAAACTAGACTTTTGGTTCGTAGACGACAAGTTATTCCGCAGCCCTGAAATTCAATGTTTTGAAGGTTGCATGCACCATGTCTTTCATCCTTAAGATATCCCCCTTCTCTTCACAGCTTAGTTACGTTGAAATTAAATGATTATTTATTGTCTGTAATTCTGTTGAAATATCTCTCTCAGCCACAGCATCATGCAGTGAACTTTAGTAAGTATTTTGACCTCCGAACAGTGTAATGTTGACATATGCAGGACATTTAAAGCTTCGCAAGTACTGCTGGTTTACCCTAGAGTCTGTTTAATTACCATTCCATGCGGTGAAATTAATTTGTTGACCAGCTCACTATACTTAAATGGTGAGCATTTTGGTTACAAACAACTAATGTTTTATACTTGTTACCACTTTCCACAAAACGTTCACTTTATTTTCCACTTACTGGACAAAAAAGAACTCGTGTAAGCACCTTATTCTTCAAAATGTGTCCCTGTTTTCGCCCCGAGACTACATTCGACATCAATAAGTTAACGAAAGAGGCGGAGAAGGCGGAGAAAGAAGAGGAGCCGCGGAGTGGATTATTAATACTTTTAGCTGAATTTCTAATTAGAGAGCGTTTTATTGGGTCACGTTTTCGACTAGGCTATTATGCCTCCTTCACACCAACTATGGTTACTAGCCAACAGATAATAATGCCTCTACTTTCGGAAAATCTGTTGTAAGGAGCGTTGAAAAGGAAAACAAATGAAAGACCAAAAAGGAGTAGTTCTTTGAATCATCCCTGGAGACGGAAGAAGGCATTACGCTTAGGGATAACGTGCATTGCCAAAGTAAAGGAGGGTTGGGCGCTGATGCCATGGACCCGGAACCCATGCCGCCCAGCAGAACAGTCAAGGTGGAGCCTCAAGTGTCCTCATAAGCAAAAAGAAGTTGAACAAGAAATTAAATTATTGCATAGCCCCCTCTTCTTCTTGAGTGTTACCTCATGCACTCCTATCGGTCACCCTCCCGCGTCAGCCATCACAACGTAGCCAGTGCTGTGAGAAAAACATCTGCAGACCAACCTCGCCAGCCGTTGAATTAGCGTGCAAGTGAGAAGGCATTCGATTGCAGTGTAACTAATTCCTCTTGGCAGTATCACTGGAGCTGGAGTTTTGTCCTGTATGGGAACTGCACTGGAGTGAGGACGAGTTAACCTACTGGTCACACACATGTTCATCGCTAGTCAGAGGAATACCGGTCTAAAGCAGAGTCATTTAACAAAGGATGGGGTTTAACATATTTCCGTGGCAATAGGATTTCATGGTTGTTCTTTCCTGCTACTCTGTTCTCACTTCATTCCTATCCAGTCGTGCATCTATTAGGATTATATTCAGGTGGTAGAGATGGAGGAGGTAGGGTAAGATTACTTAGTTGACATCTTCATGCAGGTACCGTAGATAGATCCGTAAAGAATTTTTACAGATGGTTCACGACCACGCATAGTGATGCTTTATTCGTTTGCAGATTTCTTGCAAAATACGGTACCGATGTTGTTGCCGAAAATAGACGTAGCGCACAGCCCTCTCCCCTTTTGAGCGTCCTCCAAGCACTTCCTTTGCTCAGTCTTTCGCCTCAAATATCACAGCGTAATCAGTGCTGTAAGAATAAATCCCAACATCAAACTACCCTAGTCGTCAAATTTGCGTGCAAATGAGATACCTGACCTTAATGTCATGAATTTCTTTTGGCAATTCTACCAAGCCTAGAGTTTTGCCCTGTATGGAAATTGTATAAAAAACGAGGATTCATGCTAACCCTGACATACGTCCGTCGCCAGTAGTAGGGACACTGGCAAACAACAGATTCATTTAACAAAGAAGGGGCTTAAAAAAATTAAGTAGGGTACGATTTCACTTTTATTTTCCCTCTTATTTTCTTCCCATTTCAGTTTTCCCCAGTCATATATCTACCTGAGTTCCATTAAGCTAGTAGAGCGGTGACAAGGGTATCGCGTATTCATTTAGTTGACAGCTGCACATAGGTAAGGGAGATAACTCCATAACGATCTTCTCCAGATAGTTCATGGCCAGTGTTGGTTCAGCTGTTAATAGCTTTCCTGAAGACCGCGGTAGTGGAGTAGCTACTGAAGGACGACGTCATTTTCAACCCTCCCATTGGGAATTCATTGCAGATTCTTTCAACTGCAGCATGTGCAATTCTTCTCTCGCACACATTTCTCACACATTCGGTCATAAAAATTAGGGTAGTTATTTTTGGGATGGGGTTTGCTTACCGCTGACACCAGTATTACCACCCCGAGACTTCCTAAAGGCGAAAGAAGGCATAATACTCTGGCAGAATACGCATTGTCAGAGGGGTGTGTGTATAAGCACCCCTATCTAAAATTCCCCCTTTTTATTTCTCATGGTGAAAAGTAGTTAGGCGGGTGTTAGATCTCTTCCTGAAATAGCGACAGGATCACAATCGTGAACACATCTTTATTAAGAATGTACAAATGAACGTCCATTAAAGTTGTAAATACCATGGACACCTTTTCTTTAAAAACTGCATTGTAGTACCATCATACGAGTATTGTTTACGCCTTCATTGTCGCAGGAATGCAAAAATTTTGCAGATTTGACTTGTCGATTAGGACAAATTCGAAGTCAGGAATCCTATGTTGCTGATCTGTGCACTAAATCGTTAGCATGACTTTGTCAAAAAACATTTCAAATGCCTGATTTTATTAGTTTGACAGTTTGTTTAACTCTCCGGTCGGTTACACGGACACGTAGGTCTCCAAGGATTGTACTTTCGCTTTTTAGCATGGCCTTCTGGCCACGCCAGTAACCTCTCACCCCTCCTGTGCATCAGTAATACATTTTATGCCATATTGCTCTGACTTTATGACTTCACGAATGACTTAGGACGCAACATTGGAGGTGACGGTAAGCAAATCCGATCCCAACCCTGAATTCTGTGCCAAAGCATGACGGAAGAAGGGCACATTCTGCGGATGAGAGAATCTGTGACAACTCCTAGCGGAAGGGTTAAAATTAATGTCATGCCTCGGCAACTACCTCAGTCTAATGTTTTATGGAAGTGCTATTAACAAATGAAGCCACACTAGCCGTGAACCATCTGAAAATGCTCTTAATGGAGCTGTCCACGGCACCCATATGAAGATATCAACTAGGTGAACACGAGATAATTTTTCCAGCCCTCTATTAATTAAGTTGAACTTCGATAAATAGATAGATAAACGGCTGATAACACTGATGTGGGAACAATTGGCAGTGGGGAAGGTACGCAAAGTACTATCCACATGAAGCTATTTTAAGCTAGGTCTTTTATCGAATAACTACTTGTAAGCCAATATTCTTAAGGCTAGTGATGGGGATAAGAGATAAGCCTGTTGTTGTACATCATCCGGACTCTAGCAATATGAGGACAGCACATTTCCCCTTCCTCAATATACTTCCAAAACAGGGCAAAACTCCAGAATCAATGAAAATTAGCCAGATGCATCGGTGGCGTTGGTAATGAATGCCCTCTCAGTTGCACGCAAATTCAATGACTGACGCGGCGAGTTCATAAATGTTTTTCTTGCAGCACTGGCAAACTGGTTTTAGTTGACGTGAGCTGTTGAATAAAAAGAGTGCTGTAAAACATGCTTAAAATAAGAGGAACTATGAAAAGCATTGATATTTTTGTTTACTTTTTATCACCACGACAGCAGATAATATAAAAACAAGCTATGAATAGACCGGCTGAATTTCAGGCAATCAAATGGATGTAGGATGATCTTAATTCGGAAATTAATACATTTTACAGTTTTTGATCTGTAAATTTATAAATATAGTATCCCTTCTACTGGCTGTAATAAATTTTCCACACAGACCGGGTTGCAGACGTGCAAAACTTACTAATAAATTGTCTCTAGTTATAAAGACCACTAATAAATATGCAAACTTCTTAAGAAAATACACGAATCGTTAATTCTACAAGAATAACTTAATGCAGGGATAAATAAGAAACTGTTTCTAGCTTTTTTGGAGTCGGTCTTAAGGGACATTAGAGGCGAATGGTAGCGATGGGCCGAAGTGTAGATGTCACGTAGGAATTTACATTCATCCTGCATTTACTGTATCAGCTAACAGCCTCAAATATGCGTCACATCTCAGCAGCTTTATGTCAATAACTGCGTAATTTTGCGATAAACAAAAAACTGATGAGACTACTCCACCTCGACATCAAATGTGCCAAAACGTGGACTTTGACCCTCCACTACTAAGTAAATTAACGCATTTACAAAAGTAGTTAGTTCTCCCTTACATTATTAAATATGTAACAAGTAGCGCAGCCAAGCGCTTTGCTGTCGTAAGAAGTACTTCTAATGACCCTAAACTCGGGTGTATTTTAGCATTTATTTCACGTAGTTCATAGAAAAATTCATTTAACAAACTCCTCAACTCTTCTTTCAGAGTTTTTGTAAAACCTAAAATACTAATACTCCTCTTTATTTTTTTAGCATGCATGATAATTACGAAGTGCAACTCCTCAAACCATACTGAATGCTTTGCTGGGGTAGGATATGGGCCTTGAAGTGGCGCCATAAGTTAAGATGGTTAACAATTTGTTTCGCACACCGATGAAACACATATGAGGTAACCATCAAAACCATTTCCATAGTCTTTATCAGTAGAATTTTAAAAAATGTTTGGGTTCCATAAAAAAGTTCATTCACTGAAACCATCAATACTGCAGTCCATCATTTTTCTCAGTGAAACAGCTGGCTTTGATCGACACTACTGTAAAGTTTTGGCACCTTGAATAAAAAAAACCACACAGTTATATTCATTTTTACTATCTCATTTTATTTTTCGAACTGTTTGCACATGTTCAATGGCTAAAGCTAATGCCAAGAAAAAGTGGCAATCACTTGCTTGAACACTATCAGAGGAAAGCGGAGGATGACGACGAGGATGAGTATGTAAACAAAGATGGTGATAAAGGTTAGGCAATGCTACCCTTTCTTTCCTCCCCCTCCTCCCTCCCTAATGTGCTATTCATCGCATGAGTTGGCCCTAGTCATGCGGCTAGAGGAAGGTGTAATTAGGTACAATGCACAAGGTCTGAGTTAAAAGGCTCTGCGTTGTGTCCCTTTATATGAATAACTAGTTCTCGCTCTTTCTCATTGGGAGCAAGGACTTTGTGTTGTGCACCTTCCATGCATACGAGATGTATAGTCTGGATGGACATTATGCATCGAAAACACACATAAATCAGGCAGGCATTTTAGAGGCTGATAAAAAGTGATATCTTCAATGATTTGATATAATTTGGAATGCAAAAGAAATGGACACACGCCATTCCTCATTGCTAATCAGTCCGCCTAGCCACGAGTTTTGATAAATGCAACAAAGATGTAAGCGTTACTAAATTGATGGACCCTAAAACTTCCAAACTATTTGCTGTTCTGTTACCGCCTGCCGCACCTCCTCTAAATGCTATACACCCTTAAAGTTTATTAACATGAGTTGTTACAAACTAGATGAAGTTATTACTACCAGCATTCACTAAGTTTGCAATGCATTCTATTTTACATTGTCGTAGATTCCCTTTCGTTTAAATTTGTACTTTTAGAACAGTTTCTGTGGATGGATGACAAATTTCACCAATCGACGCCAAGAATGCAGATTTATCACATCTCTCTGGAGTTAGTTAATCCCAGTCGCCAGAAAAATTCAAAGCAGTGATGGCCGTAATCGTCCATTCCATAACATCAAGCGATGCATCAGGTTTGTAGTGTTGTCCTTTGCCTTCAAAATTTCCACCTATTTTACTCACCACACATGCGAGCCTAGCCCCTCGACAACACTCATCCATCAGGGAACTACCTTGGTTCTTTCTTTTTTTCCTACCAGCACTGCTGGAGTTCCATTGCTCAGAGAGCTCGCCATTCATTTTGGTTTACGACTGGGGTAGTTAGATGCCGTATTTGATACCATTTACGATTAGATTTGTGTGTGTGTAGGCATACAGGGTACTTTAGAGAAGCGCAGCTGTTTCACTCTGTGAGGTCGCTCATAAAGTTCTGTACTCCGGCCTTGAATTCAACACTGCAGACTCCCAAGTAAGGCAAACAGAAACAATTGCTTTTATGAATCCTTTGTGAGAATACTTGGATTAATTTGATTCTGTAGGCTATCTCAAAGTACTGTGTGGACATAATCCGGCCGGTTCGGTTACCACTCCAAAAACTATGCCTTAATTTAGTAGTAAAAAAAAGGTAAACAAGATTTTAAATTAACATCCTGGACACAAAAATGCCAAATCGAGGCCGTATATCAAGAAATGCCACCAACTTGACAATATGGGATCCAGAAAGCTTTTCTGAGTTCACATTGACAAATTCTAACGGAAATGGTGTAGAACTCTAAGCCCTATTGTTAATCAAGTCGTTTCCCCCTTTTTTTAATAGTACACATTTTTGAATGATTTGCTGCCAAAATATTGTTAGAAATTATAGAAGTTTGAGTCAGCAGCTTTGAAATCGTGACGATGATAAAGGCAGCATTCAAGAGAATTTGAGTTGCTCAGTAACCAAGCCAGAACACTTAATGAACTGAAAAAATGGATGTCACGAATCGTTTGCTTCGATGCGAGACTTCAGAGTTTACTGCAGCTTTTGGCTGATACTCAGAAACTTTCCATTCGGACGTGTTGCCTTACCTCGGTTATTTTACAACTCAGCAGGTCCCAACTTTTCAAACTTGGAATCGTTCGTGATCGAAAGACTTGAAGGCGCTTTGTATGTAGAACAGACTCCAAGATCAGACGCGCTGAACGTCCACCTGCTACTATAATCAGCCAACTGTCCCAGTGCCATTCTAGGTGTTCGATCGTCATGCGCTTTTTTGAAGCCTCTTATGGACATGCCCATCCACGGACCTCATGGCACCATTCCCAACAAAGTCGCCAGCATCACGACGTGTTTCGCGCAGGCACCGCGGCAGTTGTTCGCCCTCCCCATCCAAAGGTGCCTGAACTTGCCAGGACATGTGCCACCGCGTGTGTTGTCGTCACCGTAACCTACCTTTCTACTGCCAAGAAGTTTAAAGTAGGCGACCCATTCACAACCAGCCTCAAAGAGTTACTTTCGCGTTTAGTTAAACAATGTATCACTAAACCACCATGAATTGTGTAAGTCCACCGGTGCGATCATTGCGAATTTACAAACATGATTTCTTTAGAAAGGGGGAATATCCAAACTTGAGGGGCATCGTTATTGTGCAATTTTTTAATTGTTTGTTTAACTCTCGGTTTCGGTAACAGGCCACTTCAGGGGTTCACCACTGTACGTCCACGGGGCGGCCTCGCCTCTGGATCATGTTAGTGGCCCTCAAGCCCTTCTCTACGCGAACAATATGTAACTAAACCTAGTACTATGCCTTCTTTGGTCTTCAGAGAACTTTTAGGACCTCACAGTTGTGACAGCAGCAAACAGACGATGGTGCTTCAGTCGAGTAATTTAGGGAATACAGTTGGAGTCCCCGCTCACTTAGATCCCCTTCCCTCCATTTATCAGGTAGATTGATTTTAACTTTACTATGGCATTAAATTTTCTACTAAATTATAGATGATCATTGCATTCGCACTTTTTATTTCCGAGAGTGTCTCTCTTGATGTTTGTATTGTTTCTGCCCCATGGGTTATAGGCATTCAGAAAGTAAAGTTGATTAGCTTAGCAAAAAGCGTACCCTAGTTTAGGACGTTTAATTGACAAAAGTTGGCATAAACATCCTGCCATTTCATATTTCATTGTTTGGTTGCTCTCCCTGCTTTTTTCTGGTATGCATCAACAAACAGTTGATTGCACACAGCGGAGTGTATGGAGTGATAAAAACTATTGTTTCCCTTTCCGTCATTGCTTGTTCATTTAAACAAAGCTAAAAGCACTATCCCACTTAAAAAACAATAACAAGTTCCATTATACACAATTTTCAGGGATCAGTCCATTAATTCCGACATCCACGATTTTTTTCATGCTTTATGGAGCAAGCAAGGGGATGATGAAGATGGTAACGCGAAACTTTGCATTCGCTAATGCTACACGACGATCTGACAAGTGTTGAGATAAAAGCAGAATTCTAATTCAGATAAACTCGCATTAATATTTGTCTTCATCATTTAGTGAATGTATTTGATCACTGGTAACCTTATCCGCAGTATAATCTCCCAGAACTATCCTCTGGGGACTTCGTGGGGCACACCAGTCTGGAAGGATAATTAACTACGTACACAGGGCATGCTTATAGGACACTGTTATTAATGTGATAGCCGGACTGGAGAGACTATGGGGCTCGCCTAACTGAATGGTAGAACATGATAGATTGTAAGTTTTCCCACAAGCACTCTACCACGCCCCTAACTAGAATAAACCTAGAGATGGACTTCAGTGCGGAGTGGACATCAGCGACACTTCTGAATAAGCTGGGGGGCACGGCACCTGCTGAATGTCACCTGGACTCCGGCGGAGGTTCCATTCTCGCGAGGTTATAATGCTCGGATTGGTCGTGGCCTTATAGTGACCCGGAGCACATCTAAAGTCTTCCTATTTGCGATATTGACCAGAGGGAAGGAAGGCGAGCGCGGATTTCAAAGCTTTCCAGAAAGCCAGGAAGCTAGGTGAGGAAAAATGTAGCTTCTAGAAAATCGGAACGGGCCATTTTTTGGGGATCTCAGATTGCGGTACTTTGTTCGTTTGTTTGACTCTTACATTTGGGAGCCGTTCACTTTGGGCCGCTGCCATTGTGCACCCTCCCTGCGGTCTGGCTTCCGGAGCGTCCCAGTAGCTCCACGCCCTACTGTACGTCGGTAGTATATATTCCTACCGAATATTGTGTCTTCTTTCTTTATTAGAGAAGTCTCAGGGCCCAATACAGATATCCTCAGCAAGCTATCCCTCCTTAGAACCAGCTGATTGTCATTTTATACAATACAGGGTTAGACAAAAGTGCTTCGTTTTGCTTCCCGTACTTAATAAAGTTATTTTAAAAAGCTAAATAGTACCTCGTGTAAGGGAATTTACGCTGCTCCCTGCCGCAGCGAGTCTCGGGTGGAAGTAAGTGCGACAATTACGCCACACGGCAATGCCGTCAATGAAAAAAACTTTTTTTTTTTTCATAACTCACATTCCCTCTAACTTGACAAAACCTTGTCCCCATCCGGACGGGCACTTTAATCATTCATGTTGCCCTACTCACGTGACCTCCGAGTAGTGAAAGCGACACGCATTACTAAGTAGGGCATTCCTCTGTGAGCATAAGCTCTCTGAACTGGAAGATACAACTGCGAGGTGGCCCACTTGTATCCCCCTACTGTAGTCACACCTTGTTCGCGTGTGTACGTCGTAGATCAGTTGTTTGGTGATATCACTGACTGACTTAATTACATGCTTTAACTTAAAGCGTCCCAAATGTTAACCCCCTCCCCCTTTCTCTCTCTAGTCATTCATTTGTTTAAAATCTTTAATCTCTTTGAGTACTGTTTCGAATATCCGCTTTTGACTGTCGTGTATTTTATGCCTCCTCGATGGTTGTTTTACTTGCACATTTTATGACCCCAGATTGAACTGCCGTGCTAACATTCTCCCCCTTACTATTAGCGTAATTTTAATCTCCGAAGTGTTCTATTCTTGTACTGCGACAGTAATACGTGCAAATATTCTGGCATGACTTTATGCCCAACCTCATACAGCATTAGCTTAGCCGACTACAACAAAAACACAACAAGGCCTCGGATCCATAGCCTAACTGTCACGGTAGGGTAAAAAAAGAGATAAGGTGCTCCTTGTAGATACCTTTTTTTGGTAAGTACTAGTATAAATAAGCTCACCAGTGAACAAAGAATTTGTAAAAGTGGTGGGTAGGGATGAGAAAATCACTACTGAATGGGCGCCCTGTTGTTAGGCGATGGCACAATTGACTCCTTTGTCATTCGCCGTAATGCTTGGAGGTAGAATATGAATCAAGTTAAGAATTAATAATTGAGTACCCCAGTGCTCCCGCTTGAGGTGGTGTCACCCTAGAAATCACATTTTTCTTCACGTGCGAGGACTTGCAATGGTAAATTGGAAACTTTCATTGTTTTCTCTCCGGACAGTTCTCAGTATAAATTATTGGTGAACTTTTTGTCAAGCTTGAATAATCCAAGGTCATTTGTTAATTTAAGTATCTTTCTAAGAACAATACTTATCTTGTTATTTAGTTATTTAGTGGTTGTGTACAGATTACACCGGTACTTATATCCTATAATAGTACTATCATGTCCATAAGCATATCCATATATTTTATCACAAATACGTGTATTCATGCACTCTCAACTATCCTCACTCCCCTCAAATTTTGGCACTTAATTAGAGGAGGAGACCTCTCAGGAGAATCAAATGCGAAAGTCTCCGAACTGATAGGTTCTCAGAAGTTGTCCATTTAAGCATTGTAGCACCCCCAGACCTTTCTGAGGACGAAAGAAGACATAATACTGGCACAGAATATGTGTCTCTGATATACAGAAGGAACTAGAGCTACTAGCATAATCAAAAAGCCAGGCCGTCTGGCGAAGGCTCTAGGTGGCCTCTCTATTAAGACCGAGCGTTAAACAAGCGGTTAACATGTTACCGTACCACCTCAGTTGCAAAGCCTTTTCTACAACTTGTTTATCATTGCGACAAAAGTTTTTTATTGTGGAAAATTTTTTTTCGGTGGCTTTTCACGTTAACAGGCAAAAGGTCTCTACCACGTTCTTTGGGAAGTCTGCATTGTGTGCGAGATTCGCGCTGCCAAATAGGAGGTGGAAAAGTTTCTGCTTGGATGTTAAATTATTTATACGCAAGATTGATGAGGTGCTATAGATGTCAAACGACAGAGGGAAAGTGTAAGTATCTCACGTTAGTGCAGACTTGAGCAACTGGAAAGAAGGAATTCAGAGAGCATTCAAAATTAACTCAGCTCATAGAGACGGAGAATTCGTTAAGGCGAGGAAAAAAAATAAACCTTTACTGCAAACAAGAGCATTTCACAAGGTGGGTTGGAAGCGAGTAGGAATTACTCTATGAACTGGTATGCCTGAAGTCACTTTTCCTGGTAAAACAATGTACAGAAGGGAGCATCTACCCCTACTTACTAGCTGCTTGATCTTAAAACGAAATTAACCTCTTTTTGATACTGCAATTTTCTAAAGTGGAAAGATAAATGAGGATTTCACACCTTTTTGGGTGGTCAGAAAGCTGGCAACTCAACCATTTTTCAAGATAACAGTAACTTTTCAATAACCTTATAGCAGTCGTTGGGAAGTAAGTATGTTGATTGAGATTTTTTGTAATAAGTTCATTGCTTTCATAGTTTGTGTAACTCCGTAATTGGTTACGCAGGAGCCAAATTCTCCGCGGATTGTGCATTCGCCATCTGGCATGTCCTCAGTCTCATGTCAGCCCTTTTGTGTAAAAAACTCGGGGAGCTATAATGAAAGCTTCACCTTATTTATTGATGAAAAAGAAAGCTGGCTG